TGTTTTCGATAGAGAACTTCAAAGGCTATCGAAATCACTATTTAGATTTGATCTAGCTATTCGTCTTCATTGAAAAATCTCAACGACAAAAGGGGGTCTATAATTTTGATAAGCCCTGTATCATCAACATGTTAAGTAAAAATTCAAGAATGATTAATTATTTTCTCCGAACAGAAAATGACACCACTGAAGAGTTTGGATTGGATGAAGAAAATGATGATAATGACGTCATAAATTATACGCCAGACCAACTTATTGATGAAATTCCATTTGATCCTCACTCTCACAATCTTAGTGATGATGATGAAAGTATATTAAATTCAACAAAATCAGATTTTAATGGAATAAGAATAGTTGACAATATTAATCCAGCTCTAAGACAATCGTATTTCAAGGTGAAAATAAATAACAATATTAAGTATCTTCACAAACAATCAGCCTGCTGGTTGCAATCGAACCAGATAACGAAATTATCAAGTGATCGTTTATCTCGTGTCATGCAACAGACATCTGATCATAATTAGCAAACTTATTGGTCTCATTTTTTTCTGTTTTACTAGTCATTACTCTTGTTAAAATTAAATAAACTAATCGTTCATATTTTTCCAACGTTATTTAATTTTGTTTTATGTATATCCAGATCTTCGAGGATACTTTACAGTACTTTCCCGTAATTTTAAGTACTTTGGTGTAATTTTAGCTGCTTTGGCGTAATTGAAAAGTACTTTCAGCTACTTTCAGCTACTTTAAGCTACTTTGAGCTACTTTGAAGTACTTTGAAGTACTTTTTATACTTTATTGTACTTTTCTACTTCAAGTCTGCCTTTTCTCCCTTGCCCCAACCTCATTTCACACTTCAGATATTTACGCTGCAGTATAATCTGTACAAGGACATGTTTCAATAAAACAGCGATTCTTATAGTACATTTAGGCTAAAATATACCTTATCTTCCCTAAAATGTAGTAAAGTGTTCGAAAACTGTTGCTGGACAACATAGGCATATAGTGTACCAAAACACACTGCTCGGACATTCTTTACATCTACTGTCAATTTGTTGCCTCAATCGTACTAAAAAAAAATGCACCCTCCTCATGAACATACATATATTGTACCATGCAACAATTTTTCCTACACACGAAATCATTTTTTCTCTTTTCAATTTCATTTTTCACACAGGAATTTTCATTATTACAATCAGTTTTCATTCTTTTCGTTGAAAAAATATGTCTCCGTATAAAACTATGTAAAAATCTTTTCTATGGAAGAAGTCATTTTTTAATTTTTCATCTAGGAGACTTCATTATTACTATTAATTTTCATTTTTCTGCTGAAAAACAAAAATATATCTCTGTATGCTACTACGTTAGAATCTGTCCTATAGAAGAAATGATTCTTTTCACTTTTCGATTTCATTTCTCACATAGGACTCTTCATTATTACAATGAATTTTCATTTTTCTGCTGACAAAAAAAACATATATATCTGCGTAAGATACTCTGCACGAATTTTTCCTATAGAAGAAGTCATTTTTTCATTTTTTGATATCATTTTTCATCTAGAAGTCATCATTATTACTATGAATTTTCATTTTTCCGCTGAAAAAAATATGTATATATCTCCGTATGACACTATATCGGAATCTTTCCTATAGAAGAAATCATTTTTTCATTTTT